GTAAGTTTAACGCTAAAAATTAAGTTTTGATACTCGTGGTGGGCACAGCAAAGAGAGCCCATTGTGTAACTTTGTGCTCAACAACAAATAAGTTATTGTTATTTTTTTCATACATTTATCTACACGTGACTATTTTTTGTATGTTAAATTTCCCGCAATAAAGTTGAGAAAATTAAATCTTGATACTGAAATGCCAGTGAACCTGTACAAAATTCATGGTGAACCTGTAGATCCTGTCTTCTTTACCGTTGTAATTAGACCCACTCGTCTTTTTTACCGTTGTAATTAGACCTACCTGTCTTCATTACTGTTGTAATTAGACCTACCTGTCTTCATTACTGTTGTAATTAGACCTACCTGTCTTCTTTACCGTTGTAATTAGACCTACCTGTCTTCATTACTGTTGTAATTAGACCTACCTGTCTTCATTACTGTTGTAATTAGACCTACCTGTCTTCTTTACTGTTGTAATTAGACCTACCTGTCTTCTTTACCGTTGTAATTAGACCTACCTGTCTTCTTTACCGGTTGTAATTAGACCTACCTGTCTTCATTACTGTTGTAATTAGACCTACCTGTCTTCTTGACCGTTGTAACTCGATCTATCTGTTCTATTATCTGTTTTAATTAGACCTACTTGTAATCTTATCCGTTCTGATTAGACCTACGTGTTCTGTACAGCTTTAAAATTAAACCCACCTGTCTTCTTTACCGTTATAATTAACCAAAGTGTTCTGTACAGCATTGTAATTAGACCTACATGTCTTCTTTACCGTTGTAATTAAACCTACCTGTCTTCTTTACCGTTGTAATTATACCTACCTGCCTTCTTTGCCGTTGTAATTAGACCAACGTGTTCTGTACAGTGTTGTAATTAGACTTATCTGTCTTCATTACCTTTGTAATTAGATCAACGTGTTCTGTACAGCGTTGTAGTTAGACCTACCTGTCTTCTTGACCGTTGTAATTAGAAATACCTGTCCTCTTGACCGTTGTAATTCGACCTATCTGTTCTGTTATCTGTTTTGATTATACCTACATGCCTTCTTATATATACGCTCTCATTAGACCTACTTGTCATCTTATCCGTTCTGATTAGACCTACTTGTCATCTTATCCGTTCTGATTAGACTTACTTGTCATCTTATCCGTTCTGATTAGACCTACTTGTCCTCTTATCCGTTCTGATTAGACCTACTTGTCATCTTATCAGTTCTGATTAGACCTACTTGTCATCTTATCCGTTCTGATTAGACTTACTTGTCATCTTATCCGTTCTGATTAGACCTACTTGTCATCTTATCAGTTCTGATTAGACCTACTTGTCATCTTATCCGTTCTGATTAGACCTACTTGTCCTCTTATCCGTTCTGATTAGACTACTTGTCATCTTATCAGTTCTGATTAGACCTACTTGTCCTCTTATCCGTTCTGATTAGACCTACTTGTCATCTTATCCGTTCTGATTAGACCTACTTGTCATCTTATCCGTTCTGATTAGACCTACTTGTCATCTTATCCGTTCTGATTAGACCTACTTGTCATCTTATCCGTTCTGATTAGACCTACTTGTCCTCTTATCCGTTCTGATTAGACCTACTTTTCGTTTTCAAGTCTAAGGTTTCATCTCTCTGAACCTTACCGGGCTGATTACCTGAAGTATCAGGCAAAACGTTGGAAAGTTCGTCCTGGTTCTGATCCGCCTCCGAACTATTGGAATGAAACGAAGAATGTGACGAGTTTTCTCTGTGCCGTGCTAAAAGCTGCTCAATACTGTAGATGGTTGAACGTGCTTGGTTTTTAGGATCGCAATGAACCAAATGTTGTACATCCTTTCTCATCATGTTGAACATCTGATGATCGATGATAAAATCAGCCTATGTTTGTATGCTTTAGTTCATTTGTCACAGATAATCAGAAACCAAGATTTTAATACAAGTTTATGTTAGAGTCTGTCGCCTTGCCGTTTCGTAGCTTGAAGGAAACCAAGCTTGCTTATATTTGGAGAAGATATGCTTAACAAAGTTAGTCATGATCTGGCAACGCTCTCGTGCAAGTTTCTCATTCGTCTCTCGACACGATGTGATTGGTCGCCTGCGTTATTTATCTTGATCCAGCTCACTCTTCGCTCTGTTCTTTAATTTGAGAGGGGAAGCCTTGATTGGTAAATATCGAGACAAGTAGAAGAGGCTGAAAAAAAATTCAACCAAATTTCTACATTTTCAATCGAACATTTTCTCTTTACAGCGTTTAGTACGGCTAAGCTAACAAAACTGGTTACTTGATACACGTGGTATAGTTGAAACCGGTTACTTGGTAGACATGGTGTTTCCACCAATGCTTTATGTTTAGCTGAACCGGTTACTTGACACACATTGTGTCTCCACCCACGCTTTATATTTAACTGAAACCGGTTACTTGATACACATTGTGTCTCCATCCACGTTTTATGTCTAACTGAAACCGGTTACTTGATACACATTGCGTTTCCATCCACGCCTTATGTTTAACTGAAACAGGTTACTTGATACATATTGTGTCTCCATCCACGTTTTATGTCTAACTGAAACCGGTTACTTGATCATATTGTGTTTCCATCCACGTTTTATGTTTAACTGAAACCGGTTATTTGATACACATGGTGTTTCCACCAACGCCGTATGTTTAGCTGATATTTCTCAGTAGTTCATTAAATGTTTAATCCCTCTTCAGGGCCTCCGATCGAAAGTCAATAAACCAGAAATATAATTCAGCGTTAGCCATCTCCATCCAGAAACAACTATTTAGGTAAAAAGTAAAACAGGTAGGAGCGAAAGTTAATTGTTGATCGCCCTAAACACGTGTAGGTCCAAGTTTCCCGTTCATACAACTAAGCTTAGTTCAGTTATGGTGTACTGATAAGGTAGAATAGGTCTAATTATCTCTACATGAAACTTGCTTGATCACAGCTACCCAACTAAACGCAGTTCCCTCGGTGACGCTGAAAACACGTCCGGTTGTTTACTTACCAGATTAGCTATTATTTTTCTAACAACGGGGATCCCATTTCACGAACTCCCCCCTCTCTCTCTTTCTCGTGAAGCAAATAAAATCAAGAAAATTTCAAAACCGCCAATTACGCTTTTTGTTTCTTTCGAAACACATGTTTTACTTTTCTGGTCTGGAATTGGATGTCTTGTATGTCTGAAATTGGATTTGATTGGTATGTAGAACATATGTAAGTTAACTAGATGACTTGTTTGGTATATAGAACAGATGTAACTTAACTAGATGATTTGTTTGGTATGTAGCACATATGTAAGTTAACTAGATGACTTGTTTGGTATATAGAACAGATGTAACTTAACTAGATGATTTGTTTGGTATGTAGAACAGATGTAAGTTAACTAGATGACTTGTTTGGTATACAGAACAGATGTAACTTAACTAGATGATTTGTTTGGTATGATAGAACAGATGTAAGTTAACTAGATGATTTGTTTGATATGTAGAACAGACGTAACTTAACTTGATTTGTTTGGTATGTAGAACATATGTAAGTTAACTAGATGATTTGTTTGGTATGTAGAAAAGATGTAAGTTAACTAGATGACTTGTTTGGTATGTAGAACAGATGTAAGTTAACTAGATGACTTGTTTGGTATGTAGAACAGATGTAAGTTAACTAGATGACTTGTTTGGTATGTAGAACAGATGTAACTT